TAACTTAGCCTCTTCTCCTTGTGTTTTCCTGTCTCATAAGTGTTTGCCTTAGATTATTGATTCTGGTACCTCTGATCATATGTCTGGATCCTCTGATCTTTTCCTCAGGCGGACTCCATGCAATTATATTGTGATAATAAGGCCGCTATCAACATTGCTCACAATCTGGTTCAACATGACAGGACAAAGGATGTTGATGTTGATCGCCACTTCATTAAGGAGAAACTCACTAGTGACACGATATGTACTCCCTTTGTGCAGTTTGGTGAACAACTTGCTGACATCCTCACCAAGGAAGTTGAGAGTAAGCCCTTTCATGACATCTTAGGTAAGCTGGACATGCGAGATATCTTCACATCAGCTTGAGGGGGAGTGTTAGAATAATATATTATTATTTGGGTTCTTATTTTGTAATTATTCTATGCCTTAAGGCTCCCTTGTAATTATTAATTTTCATTAATATAAATAGAGGATGATATCCTAATCATTCCCTAATCTGGTATTCTCTAAATTTATCAATATTTTGTAATCTGGACTGGCCTGGGCAAATTTTTGATGCCCAATTGTAATTTGGGCTGGGCCTAGATAGAGGTTGTGTGTAACCCGAGCAACCCGAACCCGAGTTGCATTTCGTGTACTATAAAAATTATATAATATATGTATAAGTATGGGCTTTGTGGAGTATAAATGGAATTTTGCTTTTGAGGTTATAAATGGAATTTTGCTTTGTGGAGTAGGCAACCACATTTGCTTTCACTTTGTCTTCTTTTGGGCAGAGAGACCAGCCCCCGCTTCCTCATTGTTGTCATTTCCCTTTCTTTCTCTCTCTTTAACCACCATTGAAGTTCAAGCTTTGAGCTTCACCCACACGATCCCTCATTCCTCTTGAGATTTACGAACAAGATCATGAGGCATCTGATGTATCCTTCTGTAGATTTAATTTGTATTTTTTTTCCTTCTAAAAGAGAGTGTTGAGTTGGGTTCCATACTAAATCCCTCAGCTTCTCTATGCTTGTTTTACTGGATTTGCAGGCAGAAACTAAAAGATCAATTTTATAGAAGTAATGGTTTACTTACAGATAGTTTAGGCAAATTTTCATGTAGGTATGATTTAATTTTTTAATGGATTGTTTAGAAATTTCCTTCTTTTATGATTTAATTCTATTTGGGTGTGATGAAGATGAATTATTCTTCTTTTTTATTTAGTACATGATTGTTATTGAATCACTCCCGGTATGAATTTTTTGTTTTGTTTTATCTATTCAATTGGGAAATTCGAGCAATTCGGCTAACTCGAGCTCAGATTATGTAGCTCAATCCAGACTTGGGCAGCCAAGCTCGGGTTGATGGTCGGGCTTGGTTTGGGCAACCCTCCAACTTGAGCCGACCTGCCCGAGTTGCACCCCTATGGAAGGGTGCACCAAAAGAATGTTTTTCTATTGTTAAATGCATTATTAAATTTCAGGATGATCTTCTCAATCGGCATTTTTTATTAAGGCCTCGTTTGGGAACAGGCTAATTTAGTAACTTTTTGACTATTTGGCTAAAATATGAGCTAAAAAAAACTAGTATGTTTGGGATGACTTTTTGGCTAATTACGAAAAGATGTGCAAAAAGTAAAGAGGAGAGAATCTTTGACTTTTTGGTATGGGTTGTTGGCTTTTTGGCTAAATTAGTAACTTTTTGACTTTTTGACTAAAACTGAACCTTCCCAAACGAGGCCTAAGAGTTAATTGTAGTGCTGCCAAACAAGTTTTTAAAAAAGATGTTGAAAATCTTGTTCTGCAAATTACCAAAATACCCCTAAGCTAAAAAATCCTAAAAAACATAAATATAATTATAAAATAAGACTCTAATAATACTAGAAACATAATTATAAAAGATTGCTATCAGTTTCTCTATGAAATCATGCCAATGTCCAAATATCATCTCTTCTTTGAATTTAGCCTTCCTTGAGTTTCTTACATTCTGCATCATTCTCCCTTGGTTGGAAAAAAACTCGACCTCGAGTTTTGAAGTGTTGGAATACAAGAATAAATTACATCCATGGCTTCACATTAAAATCTTAAAGTTGGCAGCATCATTTCTTCCTCATTGGAGGTAGCAATGGAAGCAATATGGGGTGTGTTTGGTTTGTGTTTTGAGATAAATTTATAAAAAAAAATTTGGCGAGAGAGTTTAGAATTTTTTTTTTGGTTTGTTTGGTTGTATATTTTGAAAATAGTTTGGGAGTTTGGGATGATTTGGCATTTTATTGTAGTTGAGTAGATGTGTGTGAGAGAAAAAGAGATTGAAAAGGAGAGAGAAGAGAGAAAAGGTGATTGATTGATATGTAGGAGAGAGAGAGAGAGAGTGATTTTGGAAATTTGTCTCAAAATATCTGAACCAAACAAAATTTTGAAAATTTTTCTCGAAAATTGTATCTTAAGATACAAACCAAAAAAGCCCCATGGTATTTTCAACTCTAAAGCTAAATTTCTCTAGAATAACAAAATCAATTGAAGTAGAAGGTGAACCCTTGAATTGATCTAAGTGTGAATTGCCCCATCATCCAGTGAGAATATTCAGTTTTATGTATATATTAGGGATTGAGTAGCCAATCTTTTTCCTCCCAAACACACATTAATGTGTACTATTTGGGCTTCATTTTTTTTATTTTTTATATTAGGGATTGAGTAAATATTCTTATTTCCTTTTCAATCCTAGGTTAGATTGTTATGTAAACTGATGTACCCTTGTATTACAAAAACAATTGAATATACAGATTATTCATATAAAATTCTTACATGGTATGAAAGCCACCTTCATTTGAACCCTAGAACCGAAACTCCAATTTCTGACTTCGATCTCTGCCTCTGATTCATCACCGGAGTCATGCCCTGTCTACACCCTCTGTTTCGACTTTGAATCTCAAAGTCAAAGTTGACTCTCTATAGTTCATTGTGAGATTCTAGTTCGAGTCATCTAAGGCTTGCGATCTCACCCGAAGTACTCTCTTCTTGGTTTTCTGCCTTGTGATCCCTTTGCGAAACCCTAGCCTTTAAGCTTAGGGGTATTTTGGTAATTTGTGGGTCACCCATGGGTCGTTTTGTGGGTCAAGTTATTTAATTAGCTTTTGTTTTTGTTTCTTATTTAGTCTTAGATTAGTTTTGGAAGTCAAAAGATATTATTAGTTTCCTCTTTTTGTTATAGTTGGTTTAGGAAGTCTCCTAATCCTATATAAACTCATGTAATGCTTATAATTTATTAGAGTTGATATTTTATAAAAATTTGAGAGTTTTGAAGCTTCTTTATGGATTGTGTGATGCAATCAAACCCTAGGTGTAGCCTAAGGGATTCTAGGAATGATTCCTAGATTTATCTTCTTTTTTATTTCAATTTGCTATCCCTCTAAAAATGCACTTTTCAACCTCAAAACTCCATCCAATCATCCCCAAATCAACCCTACTCCCTTCCCCTACCTATTAGCTTTCAATTCAGCCCTTAAAACCCTAAATTGCTCACTGTTAAGACCTTCAAATAACCTCTGTTTTCAAAATCTAGCGCTGTCGCTACTTGTCCTACATCATGTAATTTCCTTAGCATATACTAAACAAAGACATGTTCAGGTTGATCTCTATGTGGACATCGGTGATGACTTCCAAGTATATGTGAAACATCTGGCAGATGTGAGGGAATATGGTTCTGTAGCTGCTATTCAAGCGGACACATCATTACTGACTGATTTATGGAACAAAACCTATGAACGGACAAGATTCTTGTGGATATCTTAGTTCAGAGTTTGTCTGGCATTACTGAGGTGTGGTTTGTGAGTTGTAATTGTTTAACCAGTCCTTCTACAGACTTTTGTATTATGTGTTGGGGAAGTTATTACAAATGATGTAATTTAATTCACTTACAAAGTGGGCAAAAGTGTGAATCAGTGATAGTGGGTTTGGCTTGCAATCAAAACAGAGCAGAAAAGAGAAAGAAAATATTGAAAATATTTCAGAAAGAAACAGAGCAATAAACCATAACAACGATACTTCAAACAAATATGCAGGGTGATTATACTGGAAATATAAACTGGAAATTATAACACAAAACAATACAATACTGAAATTAGTCGAGGCTTGTGTTGGACATAATTTCCTTGAGGTTTAATTTGCCCCCACCAAGGTGCTCAGGTTATTGGCGTCAACATACAACGACTAGAATCCAAGACCGCAGCACAACGATCCTAGATATGACAAATCAAACTTTTGTTGTACTCTCCCCAAGACTCAAAGACTCTAATGCAGAAATCTACATGAGAAACACCAAGAACAGAGAGCAATTTTGGACTGCAAAATTGAATAGACTAAACTCTCTAACTCGATTTGAATTTCTATCTCCTACAACTTGGGATGAGTGGGGTATTTATAGACTCTAAGATGGCGGTGTGAACAGCCTCAGATATTTTCAAATTTCGGTGATTCATCTTCGAGAATACGCCTGAAACGCGGTGAACACACTGTACCAAATTCAAATGTAAAATCGACCTTCACCGTATGAACCTCTATCAAGAATTTGATAGATGCTGCTAGAAGGAGAAACCAAATCACAATTGAAATTGAATTTCCATTAGAACACTTCGGAGTTTCTGGACGAAACCAAAGACGAATTCAAATTTAAATTCGTTCAACTACCATGTTACCGAAGCCTTCTTCAGAGTCAATTTCTCATTCACTTAGAACATGGTTTGAACAACCATATACACGAAGTGAATCACCGCCTGGGAAAAAACGCATTTCTACTTGAACATGCCTCAATTGGTGTCCGGATCTCATCTCAAATTTGGCTCAAAGCTGGCCAAAATTCATGGTTTCACAAATCTGCCAAAACTTATGGTTTCACAAACCATTTTTCCAACATTATAACCTCTCTCTCTCTCTCTCTCTCTCTCTGTGTACTTTTTTATCAACGTGTGTAGTCTGTATAGGCTTATTTCCATGTTTTTTTTTTCTTCTCTGCTTGTTAAGCTGGAGGCAGATGATTTAGTTAAGCAGCTTTCAGAACCATTCACACCTGAAGATGCATTCATGTTTGGTCCACATTCTGTACTTGATTTGGATCACATTCAGACAACTGCAAATTTCATAGACACTCTTCCTTTTGATGGGGTATGCTCTTTTATGGTTCTGGTCTAGTTTTTTATGTGTCTGTTCATGGGCTTGATGGGGGTACTTTTACCTGTTAAATAACTTACATTTTTTAACAAAATTCGCTCCTTTTTTTTTTTCTCCTTTCTTTCTTTCTTTTCTTTCCTGGGTTTGATCTACTGAGTCAATTAGTCCAATTAGAATATCATTACATAAATTTTATACCTAATTGGCATTTCCTGATAGTGATGCAAAATAGAAGGTGTGTTATATTATTGTTGTTCATGCTGCAGGATTTTCCAGCACATTTCATGGCCGAGGATGATGTGACGAGTGAATCTTCTGTTGCTGACCTCTCTCAATTCATTCCCAAGATGCCAGCAGTGCCTTCCATGTGTCACATTATTAGTGTTGGGAAGCTTGTTGAATCGGTAATCCCAATCTCTGTGAATGCGTGCATGCATGTTTGCAAATGAGTTTAAAACAAAGCAAGATGAATGCCTGTTATTTGTTCAAACTTTTCAAGGTTTATAAGTTCATTCATGAGTAGTTATGAAGCATAGACACCAATTCAGAGGTTCACGTTCTAGTGTCAGACATGCATCGGACGCACTGGAGGGAGTCGGACGCACTGGGGACATGTTGGGACATGCCATGCACCATTTTTAATTTTAATGTTTTCTTTTTTACTAAAATAGTATATACCCAACATGAATGAATTGGATGACAATAAATATTTGACGTAGAAAAAGGGTGTATATGGCATGCGAATTTCTCGTATTGCTAAACACATAATGGATAAAACGTTCAATATTCTATCGTATAGATGGTGGTGGTTCCAGTTCTTGGACAATGCATTGAAGATCCCAAGTTTTGACCTTTTTTTGGCTGATTTGAATTTGATTTTTGAATTCCAAAGTTCTTTGTGATGAAAAAGCTCGTCGTATTGTTTTTTCCTATTTGTTTTCTTCAAACATTTTTTATAATTTAAAACAAGAGAAATAGAACAAGGAAGTGGACAGTTTAGTTTTTCCCACCAAAGTGTCAATAATAGCACTGCATTAAATTTAGTTAATCATTGTACCATAGTCTAAGATCTTTCAACTTATTGCTACTGCTGCTCAAAATCTAGAATTTTTTTTCTCATTGTCGAGTATTAGCGTCCAATCATTCGCATTTTATGTACTTCTCACCATGTAAATTATTGATTTGTCAATCTTCTAATCATTTACAGGAATTATATTGTATAGCTCATGCCTATCTCTTCAATCTGGCTTGTGAAATGAAAACTATCTTGGTTTTATTTTATTGTGCATTTGAAAAAGTAGTTGTTTTCAGGCGCTCGAGGTAGCTGATCAAGTGGTTGTAACATCTGTTTTAACTGTAAGATTCCTGAAAGCTTTTTTGTATATTCAATTGTATCAATGATTACAATCAAACCTTAGATTATTATATAGCCCTAACTCCTAAACCAAAAAGGAAAATAAAATCACATACAATCACGTCTCTAATATGTACAATCACAATCATGCCTAATTTAGAATATACACAATATATTCTCACACCCCCGCTCCAACTGAAGGTGTTTTAGCAGAAAACACTGAAAGTTTTAAGAAGAAACTGAAACTGAGCGGCAGTGTAAGTCTTGGTGAAGAAGTCCGCAAGTTGTAAAGCCGAAGGGATGAAAGGAAGTGAGATAGAGCCAGATTGCAGATGCTGGCGAACAAAGTGACAATCATTCTCAATGTGTTTCGTCCGTTCATAGAAGACAGTATTGTGGGCAATCTGAACAGCACTGTGGTTGTCACAATAGAGAGAGGTCGAAGGAGACTGAGAGACACCCAAATCATACAGGAGGCAACGAAGCCATACTATCTCAGCAGTGACATGAGCCATAGCACGATACTTAGCTTCGGCAGTAGAGCGAGCAACGGCTGATTGTTTCTTGCTTTTCCAAGAGATCAAGGAATCACCAAGAAATAGATAAAAACTAGACGTAGACTTGTGATTAGTAACATCACCAGCCCAATCAGAGTCAACATAGGCCACCAAGTCCAAAGAGGAAGTAGAGGACAATAGTAAGCCTTAAAGATGGTACCCCTGAGATAGCGAAGAATGCGAACCAAAGCAGCCCAATGGATAGAGTGAGGAGCAGAAACGAACTGACTAACTACATGAACAACATAGGCAAGATCAGGGCGAGTGATAGTTAGATAAACTACACAATCCACAAGCTCGCAATATAAAGTGGGATCATCTAGAGGGACACCATCAGTAGAGTTGAGCTTCACATTAAACTCAATAGGTGTACCAGAAACCTTAGTATTAGTAAGACCAGCACGGTGAATGACTTCATTAGCATACTTAACCTGAGACAAAAAAATAGCCCTTTGGAGAAGAGGCAACCTCAATACCAAGAAAATATCGCAGTGGACCCAGATCCTTCATTTCGAAGGTGTGGAAGAGATACTACTTGACCTCGAAGATAGCAGAAGAGTTAAAGCTCGTGATGATTATATCATCCACATATAGTAAAAGAGCAACAAAACCAACCGAGATATGTCTCAGAAATAAAGTAGAGTCGGAAGCAAAAGGATGAAACCCAAGCTCGGTAACAGTAGTCTGAAAGCGATCATACCAAGCACGAGGAGACTGCTTCAGACCATATAGAGTACACTAAAGACAATAAACCTGGCCAAAGGAATGGTGAAGGCCAGGGGGAGGACGCATGTAAATCTTCTCAGTGAGATGCTATTAAGAAAAGCATTCTTAACATCCATCTGATAAAGAGGCCAAGAACGAATAACAACGACCGAGATCAAAGTACGAACATTAGTCATCTTAGCAACAGGAGCAAATGTTTCCTTATAATCAATACCATACTCTTGGAAAAAACCTTTGGCAAGCAGATGAGCTTTGTAGCGCTCAAGAGAACCATTAGAATGAGTGTTTACTTGTTGACCCATTTGCAACCAACCAAATTCTTACTAGCAAGCAAAGGAACCAACTTCTAAGTACTAGTTTTCTGTGGAGCAGACAACTCATCCTTCATAGCTTGAACCCAATGAGGATCTTGATAGGCCTCCTTGTAAGATTGAGATTCTGAAAAAGAGTGAATAACAGACAAAAAAGTATGATAGGAAGCAAAAAACATGTATTAGACCAACTCAACCTGTTTGGAGGATGATGCGCTCGAGTAGGATATCGGTGTGCAGCAGGATCAGAGTTGTTAGAAGCAGGAGGATCAATAGTAGGGGCAAAGACAGCTGATGGAGAAGGAGCCTTGCGACGAGAATAAACTAACAGCGGAGGAGGAGGAGAAGCAGCTAGAGGTGAAGCAGGAGGAGAAGATGGAACAAGCTTAAGAGGAACTGTGGAGATGTACTCATCAGACGGGACCTCAGAAGGAAACGAATCAATATGAACCAAATCCTCTTAGGAAACTGGGGCGGTAAGAGGAGGAAGTTGAAAGTAAGGGAGACGTTCGAGAAAAAAAACATGATAGGAGACATAAAGACGACGAGAAACAGGGGCGTAACACCGATAACCTTTTTGAGTAGGATTATAACCCAAAAAGACACAGAGGACAGACCGGGTACTAAGTTTGGTCCTACCTTTGCGGGGAAGAAGGACAAAATAGGCAGACCTAAACACACGAAGAAGGGAGTAATTAGGAATTTGAGAGAACAAAGCCTCATAAGGAGACCGACCAGAAAGAAGGGGAGTAGGCATGCGGTTGAGAAGAAAAACAACAGTAAGAACTGCCTCCCTCCAGAATGGAGCCAGAACTGAGGCAGAGAGAAGAAGAGGCCTAGTTGTCTCAAAGAGATGACGGTGTTTACTCTCGGCTCAACCATTTTGGGCAGGTGTATTTGTACAGGAAGTTTGGTGAATGGTACCTAAATTGGCCGAATACTCACAGAACTAATTTTCAAAATATTCACCCCCCAAGTTAGACCGTAACACTTTAATTGTAAACCCAAACTGAGTAACAATTATAGATTGAAAGGTACAGTATATCTGATAGAAATCGGACTTGTGAGTCATAAGATAAACCCAAATGTAACGGGTGCAGTCATCAACAACTTACACATAGTATGCAGAACCCCCTTTGGTGAGAACAGGAGAAGGACCCCAAACATCAATATGAACTAAATAAAACAGTGTATTAGATATAGAAGTATTTTTATGAAAAGTTAAGGCTGTCATTTTGGCAAGTTTACACCCTCAACATTTAGTAAGTTCACTAGGAGAAACTTCACCCAATATACCAGACTAAGCTAAAGACAGTAAGCGATCAGCAGACAAATGCCCTAATCTAGAATGCCACAAGTAGAAATGACTAGATAGAGAATCTAACTGAAAAGAGGAAAAGGCAGTCATAGAGGTTGCCATAGGCAGATGCAAGCTCTCCACCACATAGAGGTCTCCAACTCTACGGCCGGTCCCAATCTGCTGCTTAGACATCCGATCCTGCATATAATAGATAAAAGAAGAAAAGATAACATCAAAACCAGAGGCATCAAGCTGATTGATAGATAATAAACTGATAGATAACTGAGGAACATAAAGGACAGATAATAGAGATAGCAGACATAGCAGATAGTAGGACAGACACAACAAATATAACAGACATATCAGACCCACTAGCAGCATTGACAATAATAGGAAAGGGAGGAGGAGTACAATTTTGAAGTAAGAAGAGATGGCGCGTCATATGATGAGAGGCACCAGAGTCAAAAAGCCAAATAGACGAAGAAATACCTAAAGAAGACCCAAGCAAACCTAAATGAAGAGATGAAACAATGGAGACTTTAATATTTTTAATTTATAATTTTATTACTTATATTTTTATTTAAATATAATTTTAATATATTTATTACGTCACGGTTCAACTCCGGTTCAACCCGACGGTTGAACCAGTGACCTGTCCACCCGATCCTTTTTCCGGTTCGTTCACCTGTCCGGTTTTTAAAACATTGCATTAGAATGAGTGTTGACTTTGTAGACCCATTTGCAACCAACCAGATTCTTATTAGCAAGCAAAGGAACCAACTTCTAAGTACTAGTTTTCTGTAGAGCAGACAACTCATCCTTCATAGCTTGAACCCAATGAGGGTCCTGATAGGCCTCCTTGTAAGACCGAGGTTCTGAAAAAGAGTGAATAACAGACAAAAGTATGATAGGAAGCAAAAAACATGTATTAGACCAACTCAACTTGTTTGGAGGATGATGCGCTCGAGTAGGATATCGGTGTGCAGCAGGATCAGAGTTGTCAGAAGCAGGAGGATCAATAGTAGGGGCAAAGACAGCTGATGGAGAAGGAGCGTTGCGACGAGAATTAACTAACAGCGGAGGAGGAGAAGCAGCTAGAGGTGAAGCAGGAGGAGAAGATGGAACAAGCTCAGGAGGAACTGTGGAGATGTACTCATCAGACGGGACCTCAGAAGGAAACGGATCAATATGAACCAAATCCTCTTTGGAAGCTGGGGCAGTAAGAGGAGGAAGTTGAAAGTAAGGTAGATGTTCGAGAAAAAAAACATGACAAGAGACATAAAGACGACGAGAAACAGGGGCATAACACCGATAACCTTTTTGAGTAGGATTATAACCCAAAAAGACACAGAGGACAGATCGGGTACTAAGTTTGGTCCTACCTTTGCGGGGAAGAAGGACAAAACAGGCAGACCTAAACACACGAAGAAGGGAGTAATTAGGAATTTGGGAGAACAGAACCTCATAAGGAGACCGACCAGAAAGAAGGGGAGTAGGCATGCGGTTGAGAAGAAAAACAACAGTAAGAACTGCCTCCCCCCAGAATGGAGCCAGAACTGAGGCAGAGAGAAGAAGAGGCCTAGCTGTCTCAAAGAGATGACGGTGTTTACTCTCGGCTCGATCATTTTGGGCAGGTGTATTTGTACAGGAAGTTTGGTGAATGGTACCTAAATTGGCCAAATACTCACAGAACTAATTTTTAAAATATTCACCCCCCAAGTTAGACCGTAACACTTTAATTGTAAACCCAAACTGAGGAACAATTATAGATTGAAAGGTACAGTATATCTGATAGAAATCGGACTTATGAGTCATAAGATAAACCCAAATGTAACAGGTGCAGTCATCAACAACTTACACATAGTATGCAGAACCCCCTTTGGTGAGAACAGGAGAAGGGCCCCAAACATCAATATGAACTAAATAAAGCAGTGTATTAGATATAGAAGTACTTTTATGAAAAGGTAAGGCTGTCATTTTGGCAAGTTTACACCCTCAACATTTAGTAAGTTCACTAGGAGAAACTTTACGCAATATACTAGACTAAGCTAAAGACAGTAAGCGATCAGCAGACAAATGCCCTAATCTAGAATGCTAGAAGTAGAAATGACTAGATAGAGAATCTAACTGAAAAGAGGAAAAGGCAGTCATAGAGGTTGCCATAGGCAGATGCAAGCTCTTCACCACATAGAGGTCTCCAACTCTACGGCCGGTCCCAATCTGCTGCTTAGACATCCGATCCTGCATATAATAGATAAAAGAAGAAAAGATAACATCAAAACCAGAGGCATCAAGCTGATTGATAGATAATAAACTGATAGATAACTGAGGAACATAAAGGACAGATAATAGAGATAGCAGACATAGCAGATGGTAGGACAGACACAACAGATATAACAGACATATCAGACCCACTAGCAGCATTGACAATAATAGGAAAGGGAGGAGGAGTACAATTTTGAAGTAAGAAGAGATGGCGCGTCATATGATGAGAGGCACCAGAGTCAAAAAGCCAAATAGACGAAGAAATACCTAAAGAAGACCCAAGCAAACCTAAATGAAGAGATGAAACAATGGAGACAGACGGGGATAGCTGGGAGGTAGACAATGTATGCTGAAGCTGACTGATCCGAGCAGTCAAGGAAGCCAAGTCAGGATCAGAAGCCGGAGCAGATGTAGTAGAACTGGAGGGAGGCTAAACGGTACTCAAAGAAGGAGTGCAAAACTTGATTAGAAACTGTTGAGAAGACGAGACAGACACCGGCGAAGCAGACAAACATTCCTTCTTGGGACAATGATACTTCCAATGGCCTTTCTGATGTCAGAAAGCACACTCATCAGAAGTCAGAGACATCATAGTAACTAGAAAACTGAGGGGTTCAAGGGCAATCAAATAAAATAGCCAAACCAGGGGTTCAAGTGTAATACTCAAAATCTGAGGGGTCAAACTGTAATAATCAGGAACTTGTTTGGTCCAAACAAGAATAAAAGAAAACTGGGGAATTTCAGGACCAGGTCATGACGCTCACAGTGGGTCAACTTCGAATAAATCAGATAAGTTGACCAAGAGAAGCAGAACCAGGTGATTTCGAACTGATGGGTCACCCCTCAGAAGAAGCAGAACCAGCAAAAGAAGAAACAAACCTCGTCGGAGGGGAGTCTTGTAGCAAGAGAGAAGACCAACAATCATCAACAAGAGAGAGGGGCTTTGATCGAACCAGATGAGCCTTGAATCAGACGAACTAGACCTAGACGAACCAGATGATCAATGAAGCAAGAAGCTTCAATCGACAACCAGGTCACAGAGAGAGAGAGAGAGAGAGAGAGAGAGAGAGAGAGAAGACTCACGGCCAACGACTGCAACACTCTTCAACCAACGGTGCTAGGGTTTTGCAAACAGCTTTGATACCATGTAAGATTCCTGAAAACTTTTATGTATATTCAATTTTATCAATGATTACAATCATACCTTAGATTATATAGCCCTAACTCCTAAACCAAAAATGAAAATACAATCACATACCATCACGCCTCTAATATGTACAATCACAAGCATACCTAATTTAGAATATACACTATATTTTCACATCAACATCACCCCTTCCATATAGTGCCGTGGCCAGTCAATGTGAAGCTCTTAGCACATGCACAACAACGAAGATTTCGAGTTGTTTGACAATCCATGAAAGTCATTACACCAAAACAGCTGAAAAACTATGTCCAGCGTCTTCTGCAGATGGGTGCACAGAAATCACGAATGTGAGTTTTACTGGATTTTCTAATTTAGTCTTGGTTGATCTAGGCATTTTGCATTTGTTATAGTTGAACTGTGCTAAGAGCATAAACTAGGTGAACCAGAGGTCATCTCAAACACATTAATCTCATCTCTTTCTAAATTTTCATTTGGAACATGCTTTTTTTAACCAGAATTTTTTTTTTTCTCATGAGAGAGTCCCTCAAAAGGTTTAGAAGATGAATTATAAAATTGCACAAGTTCGAGTAAGACCAAAAAAAGCCGCCCACTAATAAAGCTGCCCAAGAACTATTTCCAAACGAGGCCTACATATCTTATTCTATTTTGATTTTCTTTTGGATGATGATGTTCATCGTAGAAAACAAACTGGTGGAGGTGGATCTGTTGAGGGAGCAATGCTGCTGATGGATCAGTGCTTGGCTCTGAGGCTGCCTCCAGCCAACCCTTTTGACAACTTTCTCAGAGCAGCCTGGTCTTAGAAGAAGAGGTTGGCTATATGTTGTGTCTGTTAATATAACTTGTAAAGTCATAGGCAGATATATATACGTTTAGCCTAGTTTATGATTTCAACTTAAATGAACATTTTGAGGGCTTATTTGTTGAATCAGTTTATGCAGGCTTCCAATGCCTTATTTAGGTAGGGATTAATTTTTCAGTTTACCGTCATTTAATGACATTATTCCAAATTACATATTACATCAATTTATGGGCACAAGCCATTGTGCAAAGCACGTTACCCGCACACCTAGTTATTTAATAAAGACCACACCTTCTATGTGAGACAATCAATATGTTATCTATATTCAGCTCTTGTATGGTGAATTTTATATTTTATGGGTAAAATTCTTCTGGATACATAAACTTAGGTACTGTTTGGTTCCATGGATTGAAGTGAAATGGAATGGTCATTCCATGAAAATATCCCTTCTCATGTTTGGTTGATTGAAAAAAATAATAATGAAAATTGCATTGCAAATGGTATCGCCACTTATCAAAGAATGATCATTCCATAAGAAAGTCTAAGGTATAACAATTCCATTTCATCTCATTTCAATCACTCAATCACCTTTAGATTTTATTTTGTTTTAGAGTGAGTAATACCTTTTTGTAATTAAGTGTGTTTAGAAAACAAATAAAAAAATAAATAATGGTGAAGAACAGGGGTGAAATTCATAATATAGATTAAAATATATAAATAAAACAGACAAAAAAATCCTTTAAAATCTATTCATGCATCTATAATCAAACATGCATACTTATTTGATACAGTCACTTCTAAAACAATAAATCAATACATCGTGTTTGTCTGGTCTAATTTAAATTTCAGTGTTAACCATAAAGTGTAGATTTATTACAAAAATATAATATGATCCTTGTTCATAAAATTAGTCAGCATTACATTACCAAAAACAAAAAAAAAAAAAAATTTAAAGTTGTGGCTTGCACGTGCTAGTTAATATATAGACACATAGATGGAAAATGTTATGATGTGCACTCCATAAGGGGTGCGCATACATCCTATAACAAAATGTGTAATTTTATAACAAAATTTTGTAATATTAATTACAAATTGCTTAATTTTATCATGAATGGACGTAACAAAAAATGTCATAACGAAGCCACAAATTCTTATAACATCAATCACAAAATTTTAGACATTTTATTACCTCAATTTGTGATGAGATTATGCATTTTGTTGTTAATATTATGAAATTTTATGATGAAGTTACACATTTTTGTGGTAGGCGTGCACACCATAGGATTTTCCCATAAAATTTTCATATTTAAAATAAAAAACGTAAAGTTTTGCATAGCATTGTATTTGCAGTAATGATACATTCTCTTAAAAATAAACAAGAGACAAACATCACTATCACTGTGGGATCCATACAATTAGAACTTCTTTAGAACTCTATTATTAGAGCTCCCAAACATTATTCATTGTATTCGTAGGGATAGAGAAGTTAAGTCTTTTATTTATTTATTTTGCCGTAGTTGCTGCAATTACAGTTGCATCTTTTGTTTCTATATAAGCATGATTGAAGGATTTGTGATTTATTCAGGCTGGTTACCATCAATTAGTGCTGCTGGGAAGAGTTTTTTAGGAGCTTTTTCATTGGTTGAAGATGAGATTGATCTTGGAGTTGAAGTTGAACCTAAAGCAGTAGCAGAATCAAGAGTTGGTGGTGTCATCGTCAAGCATTGGTGGTGAATTCCATTGATATTGAATTTGCAAGTTGAAACACCTCCCTTATCAAAGTTTTTGAATACAACGGTAACAAACTGTATGCAATCAAACTTATAACATCATTATTCAATCAGGTTTTAGTCTTTCCTCAAGTCTTCGTCGACTTTCATCCTCAATCCCTCAATTCCAAAAGCAAATATGTTGCAGTCTTGGTAATCAATTCTCTTTAATATTATTTTCTTCTATCGAAACACATATTTTACAGACTTTCTAAATTCCATAATACTTTATAGAGATATTATCGAAACACTGCCTTCAAAAAATTCACGGCGTGCAACTGTACCACAGTCACCAACTCCAACTCCAGACAAGATCATCCTAATTAGACAGTTGCCAACTTTTGTTTCAACAGTAACAATTCATACAAATTAACTTTAAACTTACACTAAAGAACACCACTAATTGATAATATCATTTTAAAAGCAACATTTTATTAGATCAAGGCTTCAGTAAATGTTCAAGACTTTCAACAGCCTTTTTTGATATGTGTTGCCCTTCATGTAACAAAGGTACAAACGTTGCACCAGGTGATCTATTTCAGTGCAACTATTGTGGCAACAAAGTTCAAGCAAGGTTAGAAAGAACTCTTCTATATACTTCATTTATAATAAAATAAAAACATTTACATCTTTATATTGGGATGTTATAAAAATTAAAAATATTTGTATTTAATGTAGATGCAAGTTCAATGTTAAGCTGAAAGATTCCACCGGCAAAGTAACTGCAACGATATTTTGAGAGCATGCCAAGAAACTCTTCAAAGTAAATGTTGACACTTGGATACACAAAATCTGAAACTGTAAAATTCGTTGACTATTTCTCATTTATTAAACTTTTTATGTACATCACTTAACAATACTTTAACACAAAAAAACTAAACGATTATGAATAGGTTGATGTGGTTCCCTTGGATGCATTAGCCACTCTATACACAACAGAAAAGTAAATTGCGCAACTACATGTAATTTGATAAGGGAGGTGTTTCAACTTGCAAATTCAATATCAATGAAATTCACTAACAATGTGAAAGGATGACACCACTAACTCTTGATTTTCCTACTACTTCAAGTTTAGCTTCAACTCCAAGATCAATCACCTCCAACCAACAAAAAAAACGCATCAAGAACTCTTTCCAGCACTACTTGATGGTAGCTATCTTGAAAGATTTTATAATCAGCTCATTCTTCCCAGCATTAAATATAGAAAAAGTTTAATTACTTGCACTTGAACTCTTCCAAGCTCAATCTCACTTGCTATGAAATGATCATTCCCTGATGAGTGGCGATTTCATTTGCAACATATTTTTTTTTTCTCCAGTTAACCAAACATGAAAACGGATAATTTCATGGAATAATCATTCTATTTCACTTAGGGGTGTTCGCGATTCAGTTACAGTCGGAAAATTTCTAATCTCCCATCTGTCCACCGAATTGGCAGATTGAAAAAAATCAATCTGCATCCATCTGCCGAATTGAGCGGATTACTGGATGAATGCGAATCGATTTTGCAGTTTAAAATTTTACAAATTTTGAACATAATATAACAACTTAACAATATATTTTTTTTGGATAACAATCCAACTCAACATAACCAAAAGATTATCAAGTAAATTGTCAAATATCAATAATAAATACATATAAGAAAATTATGTATTATCAAAATTATTTCATTACTTTTTTTATATTCAAAAACTATTTAATTTGATTTTTTTAAAAAATAAAAAAATTAAGCCTTATTCATTTTAAATGTAAAATTTACTGTACAAGAGTTGAACATAGATAACATATTAATTGTCTCACATAGAAGGTGTCGCTTTTATCATATAATATATCGATAATGTTCCATATTCATAATCTATATCATTGTGTAAATTCGGTACTCGTTTGGGTTTTTTTTTTCTTTATCAAATGATGGACCCAAGATTTCATTAATAATATGTATCGCATCTTAAATTCAGGTGTACTCGTTCTTTTTCTTTTTTTCATAATCTATGATGGCCTCGAGATTTTAACGTTGAGGGGTTAAAGATATGTTCTAACATATTTTTTTTCTTTCAAAACCGTATAAATTATAATATCTATTTTTATTGACATCTGTGGGGACATATTTCATGAATGATAGCATGTGGTCAAGGTGACATCGGAGTGTCAGCCGAGGTGCCATGTAGCCTGATCCTATTACTGTACAAGAGTTGAACATAGATAACATATTAATTGTCTCACATAGAAGGTGTCGCTTTTATCATATAATATATCGATAATGTTCCATATTCATAATCTATATCATTGTGTAAATTCGGTACTCGTTTGGGTTTTTTTTTTCTTTATCAAATGATGGACCCAAGATTTCATTAATAATATGTATCGCATCTTAAATTCAGGTGTACTCGTTCTTTTTCTTTTTTTCATAATCTATGATGGCCTCGAGATTTTAACGTTGAGGGGTTAAAGATATGTTCTAACATATTTTTTTTCTTTCAAAACCGTATAAATTATAATATCTATTTTTATTGACATCTGTGGGGACATATTTCATGAATGACAGCACGTGGTCAAGGTGACACCGGAGTGTCAGCCGAGGTGCCATGTGGCCTGATCCTAATGCCGAGGTTATCTGCGGAGATATCAAAATTCGAGATGAGCGGATAAGGAACAAGAATTCTAGAACAGGGGAGGACCTCAATCTGGATAAAGATAAAACTCTCAATGAGTTTATCTCTATCTAGCTGGGAGTCCAGGATAAGTATTGAGCCAAAGTCCATTGAAGTTAGGCTTCTACAGAGATCAGGTTAGTACTGGCTATAAAGGTAAGGCATCCTCGTGAGTCTAAGACATGCTTTTTATGCTCTGTCTAGTGAGTTAAGCACTATTGTCTATCTTTGAGAGATAATTACTGACTTGATCGTCGAAGTGCCCCTGGGTGGACGAACCACCGTCGGATTCTTATCTTTCTGTAACAGGTTGTTCGGGCTTAATCTATTCTACCGGCGCTCTCTTGCTGAGTTTCCCTGTTCAGTTGTGTGGTCAAAAATCAACACCCACAATCTGGTGCCGTCTGTGGGAAATGTAAGGAGAATAGATGATCAACGACGGGCAAAAAGAAAAGAACGGGGACGACATCTCAAGTGGGAGTGGTAAGCATGTCGACCCAAACGTAGAGGAAGAAAACCATAACGAAGGAGCTCGGGATCATAATCCTGGGGAGAAGGACATCGGCCAAGAGACAGACGCACCGAAGAAGTCAGGCCGAGACAAGTATTACAACGAAAGCGACCTTTAGGTATGGAAAGATAGATGCATGAGAAGGGACAGCGAGATAAAGGGAATGGCAAACAAGTTGGCAGACTTGCAATCGGTTGTCAACTTCATGATGCAGAATAACGTTATCCAGCCACCGTTTCCATTGAAGGACATGCCAATTCCAGTGGCCAAGAACGACGCCCAAAAATGGGGGTAGAAAGTATTTTGAGTAGTCCCTTAGCATGACAGAGTGAAAGAACGCTCACATCGACCTTTGCGAGATGCCGGGCAAACAGAGTCAATGAGAGGAGAATCTCAGAGGACACCTCATACCAAGGGAAATTATGTCAAGGAACACCAGCATGTTTAGGGGAATGAACTTTGCTTTGACACAGTGAATGAGGAGAAGTCCAGAGGATGTATAACGACACCGATAACAGCGCACTGAAAAGGCTGAAATTGGTTGACAACTGAGCTCTTGGTCGCACTAAGGAGGATTTAAAGGACTACCTCTAGAGAAAGCGGCAGAACGCCGAGGTCACATCACCCGTCAAACTGAGAACACCATTCTCAGTCGAGTTGGATAGATTTGAGGCCCTAAAAAGGTTCCATATGCCGAGGTTCTAGATATATAACGGTAAGTCCGATCCGAACTTTCACGTCGGCTTATACTTGAATTCAATGGCACTGTATACCGGGAATGAACTATTGCTTTGCAAGGTGTTCCCCTCATCCTTTGGAGAAATCGCTTCAGATTGGTTTCACAAGTTGCCGAAACAAACTGTGAAAAGTTAGGAAGGCCTAGTCGAGATGTTTGTAGTCAGGTTTGTCACAAACAAGTTGCAACCATTGAGGGTAGACTGCCTGATGGCTTTGAAAATCGGCGAAAGTGAGAGCCTTAGGGCTTATGTCAAAAGGTATTATGAGGTGTTTAACTGAATACCAGGGTGTAACCAGGAGCTGGCGGTCGTATCTTTTAAGAATGGGGTGGAGGATGACTGTATGCTTTGAAAGTCACTGGCAAAGACTCTGCCAAAGATATGGAGGAGCTCAAGATCGAGAAATACGGGAGAACAGAAGAGGATACGCCAGGAACGAAGGCATCAAAGTAGGAGAAAAGGAATGGCTCGCCGAAACGAGATCGAGGTATTACAAATTTTAATAGACAAGAAACAGGACTGAGGGCTACACAGGAAGTCACCACTGTGTTCTGGATCCCGGTTTATAAAGTCCTGGAAAGGATCAGGAACTAGCTGTATTATAGAGCACCAGAGAAAATTCCTGGCAAATTTATGGGAAAAAGTCTAGGGAAGCATTGTGTCTACCATAATGAGGATGAGTATCTAACTCAAAGCCTTGAAGACGTATTTAGAAGACTTGGTCAGATAGGGTCACTTGAGGGCCTGATAAATCAGGCCAGAATGAGAGAAGAGCAAGTAAGACTACCCCAGGCACCGGCAGCATCACCTCCACCACAACCACAGCAAGCAGAACCTCGGGTGATCAATGTGATCCATTCGAAAGTTAATGAGAATGATATACGAGGAGAGACACAGAGGGTAAAACACCTATAACATGTGTGTCAGGTCCAGCAAAGGAGGCCTAGGACAGACGAGTACCAAAGACCCATAGTGTCCTTTACTGATGTAGACCTCGACATGGTACAACACCCATACAACGATGCTCTAGTAGTAACCCTCAAAGTTGGAGAATGCCAGGTAAGGCGCATTCTGATTGACCAAGGCAACTCTTGTGACATCATATGTTACAAGGAGCTTGGCCTTCATCGAGATGATCTGAAGTAGTCTAACAACCCAATGGTCGGGTTCAATGGAACGCCGACATGGCCTTTGGGAGCAATAAATCTGGAGGTACAGACAGGCACCAAGAAGATAAGCACAGAGTTCACAGTAATTGACACCCCCTCCCCTTACAATGTTATCTTGGAGAGGCCATGGTTGTACGTAATGAGGGCTGTTCCCTCAACGTTACACCAACTGTTGTGGTTCTCAACAGAGCATGGAATTGAGGAGGTCAGAGGAAATCAAGTGTGGGCAAAAAATTGTTCTATGGCAACAATGAAATCTACCTACAACGTGCAAGAGGCAGAAATAGTGGAAGTTGAAGATGAGGACATAGAGGTCTTGGATGACATCGGCAAAGAACTGGCCGACAAAAACGAAGAAGCCTTGAAGAAGATTCTGGTCCAGCAAGGGAATGAAGAGCGCTTCTTTCTTCTCTGTTCAGGTTTGGCTGAGGAGGAGGAAAGAGAGTTAGAAGCATTCTTGCGAGCAAACATAGAGATGTTTGCTTGGACGTCCTACGAGATGCTTGGCATTGACCCCGAGGTCACATGCCACAGACTAAATATAGATAGGTCAGCTAAACCTGTCATTCAGCGAGCAAGAAGGCTGACGTTGGTTCATATGAAGGCAGTCGAGAAGGAAGTGAACAAATTGTTGGAGGTCAGAGCCATCCGAGAGGTAAACTACCCAACTTGGTTTTTAAACACAGTTGTTGTAAAAAGAAGAATGAGGAGTGGAGGATTTGTGTGGACTTTACCAGCCTGAATAAAGCTTGTCCTAAAAACAGTTTCCCACTGCCCAAGATTGATCAATTAGTAGATGCCACTTCAGGGCATAGAAGAATGAGCTTCCTGGATGCTTACAGGGGATACCACTAAATAGCAATGTATCCCCCTGATGAGGAAAAGACTGCATTTATTACCCCGAAAGGGCTATATTGCTACAGAATGATGCCTTTCAGGTTGAAAAATACAAGAATAACCTACTAGAGGTTAGT